CTGTCTTCTGCAGAAGACCATTGAACACCGCCAAGGGTGTGGGTAACTTGAATGTTAACGCGCGCGCTCTCGTGCGCTAACTACGGATTGCTCCTCTTTATCGAACCTTTACATTATTTAGTTACTCATTCCAGCTCCCAGTGCGTCATTCCCGAGTCCCGACTTATATATTTCCCAATTAGTGCATCGGGAGTATTCTTTCAGCGGTAAACAACCCTGCCACTGAATCGCATTTTTTTGACGTTCAGTGTCGACAGTCGTATGGGGGGCCGTTCTTCGAAGCCTTTTTAAACAGCTAACGTTACTGCTGATTGGGTTCGACTCTCCTGATTCATCATGCCCTTCAACAACGACGATACCCCAAGTGTCTCTCTCAATGCACGAGAAGAATTCGATATTGCGGTATATCCCACTGTTGTAAGTACATATGTGATTTTTTAATTCTATCAAAATACATGAATACCAGCATGGCACAGGCTCAACTTTTTCTCTACGGTACGTATTTACATTCGTCTTGGAATTTGAAGTCTCAGCATCCTCTATCTTAATATATAGGGATTTACGTCTCCCTTTTCGGGGTTGCCATCAGCATAACGCTTGCCAGAAAACGTCGCTTTTACAAACTTCATATATTCGCTTCCACTCTCCTTTTCATGATATGCACGGCATCAGCTATAGCGCGTCTCATTCTGGTGGGATTGGCATCATCCGAAATCTCAATGTCGGCCCATCTTCAAACTTCATTGATTATCGGTATTCATTGCTTGGCAAAGTAAGAACTGATTCGCGTCGAATTTACATATTAATTCTGAATGAACGCGCCAAAGTATAATCGCAGATGCCCTACTGGTAAGTGACGCTCGCTGACGTTCTTTGTTCATCTCTGATGACTGAGTGCCTGTAGATTCACCGATGCTATCATATCTGGATCCCTAATCGATATGTCTTGTATTTTCCAATCCTCGGCTTTTTCGTCAATATCGGTGGATCTTGTGTTCTTCTCTAGCTAAATCCACAGCTAAACGTCTATTAGGACTTGGAATAGCAACTCTCGTTATACCAGGTTTATATTGGATATTCATGCTTGTAACCTTGGTCGAGAATCTGTACCTCACAGCGGTGACTGGTAAGTTATAATTCCTTCCATAACCAACCTCTCTCCTGGCTGATGGGCTTCGTTTTTAGCCGGTCGTATATGGTACATAAACCATGGATCCAGAGCTATCCTTGGGTCGAAGGTCAATACGCGATATAATGTTATAGCTGCTAGCATGTACGTCGGGAATTCCCTTCTACTGAAAGTTGAATCTCATTCTGGATTATCCAACAGTCTTGAATCGGGACTGTTATATCCCCTTGTTCTAATAGTGACATCGATATGTCTAGCTTTACCGAGATTATCCTTTCATCAAACCCTAATGTTCAATGTGATGCTAGGCATCCAAATACCGATCGTCGTAAGCTTCCAACTTGAGCTTTGCTAGATATATCCTATAACTGATTTGCACTACACATAGGGAATCGCCCAAAGTCTGATCATCGTCCGTATAGGACTCGGGGTGGACGATTCCAATACGGTGTTCAACAGCAAAGAACTCCCCGACTCTTGGAGTGCGCATCGCCAACGACAGTGTCTCTCCTACGAGATCAGGACCGATCGCGAGTAGCTGAAGTTGAACAACACCGCGACTCTACAGAATCCAACTCTGACTCTGAGACCGGGTCAATTCCGGATATGCGCGTAACTAGATTCTCGAATGAAAACTAGTGCCTAAAAACAGTACTCTATGCAAAAACACGAAAAAGTATACCCCATGTACCATAGTAGCATACTCTACTGTCCACCTTCTTAGTTGTAGTTCATACACAGCAGTGTGTCCCAGTTAATAAAACTACAGATACTTTACAAACCATTCAACGGTCTCTTTGAAGGCACCTTCTTTCCCTGCCTTGACCTTTGGATCGCTCATATCACCTCGAACAGCGAACCCGTGCTTACATCCTTCCCAGTGTGTACGTTTGTACCCAGGAGCAAACTTTCCATCAGCGAATATCTCATCTGCTTTTGTACAAGCTTCAGGTGGGAAGGCGGGGTCGAATTCGCAAGAGTTGATTAGAAGGGGAGCTTGGGAAGAGTTGAAATAGTCCTGCAAAGTAGATTAGCGAAGCACAATGCACATGTGTATAAGTAGGTGAACGAACCTGTAAGCTATCAGGAATGGCCCGAGACGGATGGGCTATCATGGCAACTTTGACCTTGTTTTCGATTGCGAGAGGGAACGTATAAGAAGCTACAAGGAAATAAACGAGTTTGAATTAATGAGTACAGTGGAGTATAGTATATCAGACTCACCTCCAAAGCAATACCCAGTGGATGCAAAATTCATCACATCCTTCTCCTTCAACGCCTCGTAAACCTTGTTAACATAAGGCCGAGTTTGGTCGTAGTCGTGTTTCGCAAACCAAGTATCTCTGTCGAAAGTTTTCTGTCGGAAATAAGTACATTGGGATTTAGAGAATAGATATGTTGATAAGAAACAACCTACACCGGGTTCCAACGCGTCTTCAGGAATAGCATCCCCATCGAAATAGTCTACGCCGATAGTCTTGTTCATTGTGATTAATGAGCTGCATTAAAATTAATTGCAAAGTAAGCTCACCAGGAACCCATTATCCGCAAAAGAGTCGACAATGAGCTTTACACGAAATTAGAAAAGTATGAGTACGACGAGAAGACCTGGATACTTACCTGGTTATTGATGAGCTGCATTCCAAATACGTCTGAGAGATACAGGATCGCTTTATCTTTGCTGTAATCGCCAGAGGGTGTGCCAACGTAGCAGTTCACGCCGCCGATAGTCTCCCATTTTCCTTTGGCCGTGCCTTCGTGTATAACGCCTGTAAGATAAATTGTTAATATCGGATGAATCGATGTAGTATCTGACGCGCTTGCCTTTGACACAGTCGTCGCAAAGAGGAGAGCTCATACTTGATATTACAACTTCAGAAGGTGTGCTGATCGGTTGTAGAGATCCAAAGGAATAAGGAGCAGCTTTATATCCTGGAGGTCTTCCGAAGGATGGTAATGAAGATGAGTCGCGTCGGAAAACTTCCGAAAAGAGCCACGGTACGCGTCCACGTGGCTAATTCCCCCATCTTCAACTCGCATCCTTTCTTCCTTACCACCATCACACTCGCTCCAGTTGTGGCTCTGGTCTCTACCATCAAGAAATCCGTAAACTAGCTAGCATTTGTGAACCTCCGGAACGTACTTCGAACAAACTCTGAAGCAACTGCAGTAATATCGGCGGAAATCAACCCGACCCTTTGTTCAAGCTTCAGAGTGCTCAGCGCTCATCTATTGATGCATCGATAATCAGAAAATCAGGATTCAATTGTCCAAACCCTCGCTGAACTTTAACCGCGGTATTGGTTGATGAAAGCTTATTTGAATTCATAAATGTTGAAGACTCTAGACTTTTTTTTTCGGTGCCCCTCTTTTTTGCAGTCATCGTTCGCATGGCTGGCAAAACGGAACACTCGTTCAACGACTCTGCTTACGATAGGGCCCGTCTAGCTCTTCTCAAGCATGCAGCCACTCGGACCCTGGTTGAAAGTGGAGAGTATCCCCTAGAACGCTGGGCGAAGGAGTTTGCGGAGCACAGGGTACGGTTTAATGCTTCGAAAATATTCTTCTCCGTTAGATTTATCCTAATTTCAGGCGAGGTACGACCAAGTTGTCTCCATCCTTCATCCCGACAAGGATCCTCGAAAAATTGACACCCGCGCTCAAAAAGCGCTTATGGAATGCGACGGATTTATTCGCTTGCATGCCTCGTCGAACTGGGAAGGAAGGTGGGTAGACCCACAGTGGCTCAAAGCTGCTTTGGAACGCGAGAAAAACGAGCGCGAATTGCGCGCGGCTCAAATCTTAGAAGCTGCCGAGGTCAAGTTTGACTATCCGCCGGACGAACTTGCCAGATCTAGGAAGACTCTTATGAGACCTGAAATGAAGCAAAAGTCGGTCAAACGACGCGTCCTGGCAGCTGTGGAGATCGAGATACCCAGAAAGCATTCCATGCCGCCGCAGCCTTCCTCCTTTTCCAAAAAGCGAGAACGTAAAACCTCAGACGGGGCACTTCCGTCTGTCAAACGCACACGTTCACAGACCTCCTTGAAGCAGCACAGTCTGACGAGTCTGGGGATCCGAGACAGCCCGCCCTTGACGGTCAAAAATACGCCCCAGTGTGATCGATGCATCAACAAGAAGAAAGAATGTTTCTCGGAGATGACTAGGAAGCGTTGCGAGGCTTGTTGCAGAGGAAAGCTCGCGTGTTCCTTGGTCCGGAAAGAACGAAATTTGACCAAGGTTGCTTCCAGTAGTGCGTTTACTCTTGTATATACATGCCGGAAGACGCTTACACAGATAAACAGGTGCCCTCAAAAGCGAGTCCGATAACGACATCCAAGAAGGAAGCGGTTCGGAGTTGGAGATGGATTCAGATTCGGTAGAAGCACATCGTAACTAACCCTGTATTGATTGACCTGACTTGATCCGGGTTTTTTCGGCTTGTTCAACCCAAAAAAGCAGGTCAATTCAAGGTCAATTGACAACCCGCAATTTATCTCGGTTTTGGCCGCAACCCGGTATCCAGGTGGTCCTATTTAATCTTGACCGACGCTGCCGAGCATGGGAAGCGCGCTTCAGGGCTCTTTGAGGTCGCGTCGAAGCTTCTTCATGCTCCACGAGGAGTTTCCCAACAATTGAGCTCGATGGAGGACCTATAGTCACAACATTGACAATGATTTAGTAGGTTGTAACTTGTGGGCAACCTAAAAACCCGGTCAACCTGGTCAACCAAAACACGGTTCTTTACGATGCATAGTTACTAATTTACTGTTATTGTGACTGCTCCAATATTTGTGGTAAATTTCATGTACAAAACCGATGGGTTAAAATCTAAGCAGGCTTTATTATTTATTTTCGATCACGCAGCATAGCCTTCTTAGCTCAGAGGTAGAGCGTTCCACTCGTACGTCAATCGGCGTTTGATGGAAAGGTCGCTAGTTCAAGTCTGGTAGGAGGCAATGTGTTTTTCCGTTGCCATCGTTTTTAAAACCTATTCGCATACGCGTGATATTTTGCTAAACTTCACATTTCAAGCAATCCTACCAATCCTCGCGATTTACACATTCCGCAGGTTCTTCCTTGGTGAAGGCCTCCTTCTCAGTTACCTCTAATAAATCTTGTATCCTTTCCTCCAATTCTTCGATCTTCACCGCTTTTACTCGACCATTATCCTCCGCGGCGGTTAAGCGTTCAAGGGCGGCCTTGAGCTTCGTTTCAGGAGCAAGCATTTTATGTTCTTGGGCGGATAGTTGGCACTGAGCAGCAATTATCTTTTGATGAAGCTGCAGGATCGGTAGGAGCACGTCAATACAGAAGTGACAAAATTTAGAAAACATACCTCATAAGAAATTATGACCTTTTCAGGGCTCACAGGTCGGAATCCTTCTCTTTCTCTAGAACGCGTTTTATGGTCCATTAGTACTGTCTGACTTGTGAGGATGAGCTTCCTCAGGTCTTCGATCCGCGCGCAATACAATCAATTGTGGATGATCAACTTCGAGTTTTTCTTGCTCTGCTGTATTCTCAATTCGAGCCGGAGTCGTTCCACCTGGTCCACTCAACCGTAATGCTGCCTTCTCCTCTAGCTTTCTCTTCAGATCCTCAATCTCCTTCTCCTATTTTTCAATCAACGCATCTCTATCGACACCAACCTGTTTCTTCACGGCATGAAATTTGACACTTTTCACGCGTCCTGCAAATTGAAGCGTCGGCGTGGTTTCTGAAGCTGCACTGAGGTCGTGGTTGATCGTACAAATAACGCTGATACGCGCATTTCCCGAGAGGGAAGATTGAAGAAGGCGTGTCAGCTTGGAATCACGGGACGGTACATGATCACTGAGACGGTGAACATTAGGGATTTGAGAGGGCTTTACTTGACTAGGTACGCACGATTTTTTCTTGGTGGAATTGTCACATAATTTTGTGATAAAATTTGAGAGTGCAAGAAGACCAAGCAGGAATGATTCCACGGCGTCAACGAAACATACGGGAAACGGATACAGATGTGAAGGCCTTCTATTTATATGTTTTCCGTCTGTCATATTGGAGACGCCAGCGGCCTTTTCTGAGCCTACTACACGATCGATGAGACTCTATAAATGGTGTGAGGCAAGACTAGAGGAAGCGACACATAACAGCTCACTAGTTCGCTCATTTGGACGGCACCTCCATCCAGTCGAAGACCACCAGGAATCTTCCGGCCCTTTCCACTTGGCCGTTTATCATTAGTTCGATCCCTACTTTCAATAACTAGCCTGAAAACAGCATGACTTCGACTGCTGCACTCATTCCAGTTTGTTGAAGCCGTTGAACGATACCTCCCGCCCCTCTCCAAGACTTCCAGAGCTTCCTTGAATGTCATTTAGCATCCTCTGTCAGCAGGATAAGAATAATCTCACCCGACCCTCCTAGTACCTCAACCTCGTTTTGGTCCTCAGGCTGAGATGTGAGGAATTGAGATGCACTTCGAAGCCTCAGATAACATATATGATTCTTGTCGGGATCCGGATGCCATCGTGACGTCGAGTCGGTGGAAGAAGAGAAGAGATCACCACGCGACCGTTTTGTTTGAACTTGAACGTGCAAGCTGCGTGTCTACGAAGCAAAAATGCGATTCACCCACTTTCGCTGGACGCAGATGCCGTTTGCTTGGACACATAGAAGACCAACACGAGAGATTTCCCAGCACGTGCGCATAAGTGGTCAAAGCGTGAAATATCAAGCTCTGGAATGTTCGGCGAGGAGCATTACACGGATAGATGGACGCGGCGTAAAAACATACATAGTGCACTTAGACCTTGCGTTTTGCGGTTATTTTTTTCTACCTGCCTGCCATAGGACAAGGTAGTGAAAACGCAAAAAAAAGATAAACGGATCGCACATCGTGTATTGAAAAACCCGTTCGTGCTGGTAGGGACTAAACTACTTCATTTAATTCGCTCCAGAAATATCCTCAACCGTCTTCCATACATGTCCTTCCCATAGCTTATTCGCAGCTCCCGCATCCCCTCGCTCCGTCTTGGTCAACCGGTCCCACCCCGTACTAGCCCTCCCGCCATCTGCCTCAATCTGAAGCGAAGTCTTGAACTCTGCTTCTCCTGCTGTCTTTGCAGGCACTTCATTACCTTCTGGTATGAGTACCAGGGGTTGGTTATAGATGCGAGCCAAGTCACGCATGGTGACACGCTCGCCTTCCATACGAAGAGATTTGTTCTGGAGATGCGGCGAGTCGGAGGGCAGGGCAGTAAGGACGTGTGCGACGAAGCCTGTTTAAATTTTTTTAGACCTGTGTACAGAGAAAGATAGTTTAGACTTACCGCCAATATCCTGCTCACTTGTGACGCTAAATGGTGTTTTTCCTTCACCCAATACGTTGACAGAATTGTTCGTCTCAAGTCCAACAATCCATTGAAGATATTCTGTGAAGAATCCCGTCTTTGAGGAGCGATGATCAGTAACGAGCCTTTCCGATAAAATGAAAAAAAGATTTACATAGAATCGTGTATAAGGTAGTCCAATCGTCTTCAAATGTTCTGGAAACAAATTATTGAAAGATCATTTTCTAGAACACAGTCGAATGAACAGAGATGGCTTACCAGCGAACCCATCCTTGATCCCAAACGCATTATCTTCTCCTCGATGTTTTGCCCCTTCACTAGCTAGACCCCACTCAGATGGGACAAACAATTTGACTGTTCCACTCGCTTTTGCCGCATCCGCCAACGGGTACTGTGCCTTCAAACCAGGTGCAGTAGCTGAGAGAGTGCTGACCACAATCTCGATGTTACGGCTTTTAAGAAGAGCGGTGAGAGCTGGTACGTCGGTGTAGTCGGCCTCGATTATAGGTACAGAGGAGAGATCTGGAGGGAGTGACTTTGCAGCCGCAGTACGGGTAATGACAATAGCATTGACTTGTTTAGTAGCAATGAGAGCGCGCAGGATGTACGTTCCAATACTACCCGCGCCAACGAGAGCAATGTTCCTGAAGGAAGTAGAAGACATTTCGATCGATAGAGCTAACGGAGTCTGGATGAGTATATATATTATACGATACTGGTATAGTTAGTCACTCGATTGACCGAGTTAGAGAGGTACGTGCTGTCGCCGACGGTAGCCGTAGCGCTTTATCATCCACATTTTTAGGACCGGGTGGGGGTACATGCTGACGGTGGCCGTAGCGCTTTATCATCCAAATTTGAAATTGAAGAAGAATTGCACCATAGCTATCGTCCAAGCCGTAAAGCAGAGCATTTGAAAAGAAGCCGCCTTGTGCGGAGAGGCCTGTTAGTGAAGCGCGATCATGATGGAAGAGGAAAAGACGTGCACGTAGGCGGTCAAAGCGTGAAATATTCTAGTTTTTAGATTCAATTCTCGAGTGTTCGACGGGGAGGACTGCACAGATAGTAATACTGTAGGTGGACGCGGTGCTACCTCTGATCACAGAATATGCGGAAGTCTCGCTGGCGTAAAATATAATGTTACCCACTCCAAGATTCCGTCTGACGAGGGGGGGGGGGTTATAAAGGTTTTGCAATTTTGTGAATTCACCCTCAGTTTACGCCTCGATAATCATACCACACAAGTTTGAAAACAGCGCAGCCTCCGAAAAGGCTATCAAAAAAGACATGCAGGGTAAGTACTATTCTCTCGCTTGCGAAGTATGTATCTAAACATCTTGATTAATAGCCAAAGGGTCGTCCGGCAGTGGTCAGCGACGAGTCAACTGCGGCTCGCGGTCTAGGGCTCTTCAAACTTCAGATCGAGTTCAGACTCTAGAGTCTGAACTCAATGTGCATTGATCTTCAACATTCTTGAACTAATCTGTTACATTGGGTACTGTACTCTACATGCCACTGTCTGCTCAATGCAATCTGCTGGAACTATTTTTTTGTCTTTTACTAGACCATGTTGTAGAATGATTACTCTACACTGTTACAGCTGAGCACCCTCGCTGACTATCGTGGCGGTTAATTGCTGATCGATGTATATAGATCATTTACCAGTCCCGGATACATCGGCACTTGCCACTCTGACTATCGAATTCGAAGGCTTTTGTGAGGAACTTTGGTAACTTTACTTTTTCAAGACCTTGCTAGATTTTTATTCCACTATCTGGGGTCTATTGGTAAATAGGCAGGACTCGGAAGCGCAATCACTACTGGAGATAAGAGCACACATTTGTGATGCACACCGGTCCCCGAGAAGAGTTTTCCCTTTTTTTTTTTTTCAATTCTTGCGAGTTTTTAAAAAGGTTCATCCCGATTTTGAATCAGTCCTCTAGTGCCCCCGTCCGTCCTCTCACACCGTCGCTTTCCGTTACAGGCATGCATTTCAGCTACCATTTCGCTGAGAACGCCTTCGGCCTATCCTTTACTCTCTCCGCTTTACATGCGTGTGCCTTGCCTCTCAGTGTGAGTGAAAAGTTATTATCATTATGGACCCCGATACGCTCACTTACTATTATTGCCAAACCCGATAGCACAACTCCATCAACCGTGACATCACCCGAGGGTTGCCCTTACACGACTCGAAAGCCACCGGCGCCTTCCTTACCACCGAATAAATCGAAGCTGAAACTGGGCGGAAGAGCATCTTCACTTCACGAAAGTGAGAAGGAGGAGGCGGCGGAGGAAGCCAAATACATCTTGATCGCTGCCAAAATCCGACTTGGACTCTTGGGCACAATTCAGTTGTCGAATAACTGAGGGCGATGGGATGATTCGATTCTCTTTTACAAGGGAATACATGGTAAAGGACATGTCAACACCCTGCAAAGTGTAAAGGGAGGTTAAGAGGCAAACTGGAGGTCAGCCAGTATGGGAAAGCTGTTTGAGCAGGGGGACTCATTTTTGACATTGCTAGGAATTCTTTTTCGTGCAACGGGTTAAGGCTGGCCAGAACTTGTTGTGCTATGGGGCGGCACTGTGATATGCCCAAACGAGATTTGGACTGGGCTACT